TGGGTGCCAATGACTTAACGTGCCTTCCGAAGCACGGAGGAGCGAGAGATAGGACATTTTTGGTCACCCATCCAATGACCGACCACTGCGAAAGGTGGTTAACTTAAGTTTTCGGTCGCTCATACCAAGAAAAAAAAATAAGCAAAACACAATGGTACCCACAATTAACTTGCTATAGGAGTTTTTGTCGGGTTTTCATCGAGTGCGGTTGGCGTTTTATTTTAATTATTCTTATATTCGTTCATAATGGATATTGTGAAATAAATTTGGTGTGATTTTGTATTACAACCGTCTGCGCAACTGAAGAATTAGTGGAATCTTTAAAATATACGCTATTCCGGTCAAGTAGACGTGAGATTGTAGTGTTGACTACCTCACAGAAGCTTATCGAAAAAGCCAACTCGATACATTTCGTGCCAAACACTCCAAGAAACATTAGAATGCATCACACCGTCATTCCAATGTAAAGAAAAAGAAGATTAATATAACTAAAGAATAGGCTGTATGGGCATTGTTCCCTTTGCCTTACCTAAAACGGGAGAATCTTAAGAAATAACTGAAGTTATTATGCTGAATTATTTATTATGACTCTCGAGACAATTAAAAGCTACTCTCTGTCGTGAAAATAAAACTTGAAGGAGTATCATTAAATATATTATTTCAAATGGCGGCCATCCGCTGGTTAAGCTGATATATTATATAAAGGGAAATGGTTACTGGGCCAATTCCATACATTCATTTATCAATGGAAAAGCTAATATTATTCTTGGTAGTCCAGTCAACAAGTTCAAAAACGTGAAAAATAGAGATAAAGCTCCTAAAAATATGAGCAATAGCTCATTGGATTCGGAACGACCTCTAGAAAAATGAGTTTTGAGGATTTTACTGCACGTAAAAAATTGCAATTGTTATTAACAAATTAAGATGAAAAAAAAGACGTATTTACGTTTTTGTTAATAACTCATAAACTATTAATATTTACGATATTTGGAAAAAAGGTCCTTAAAGAGGAGGAAATTTCCGAAAAAAAAGTCCCAGCTCCCGGAACTCTACCTCTATTATTTATAATTTTAATTTAACGCTGAAAATAGGGCTCCGCGCAGCCATTACGGCATGGGCGCACTGCCGTTAAAGACAGTTTCTAACATAAAATAATTTTTTATAGTAACAAATATGAATTTAAAAATTTAAATAAATTATGGTGTCATCCAGATACTTGAAAGAATATATTACCGTTAGAAAAAAAAATTTAAATTAATTTTTCAAAAAGTTATGCAATTGTTAATTAACGAATTTTTTTCCTATCTCCGTTTTCATAAATGACGACATAAAAATTTAAATAATAAACCTATAAATTTTTGGCTCTGTGGAGCTCTTCTTATATATATACTTAACAAGGTCCCGCGATAAAAGTTTATTAAAGTTAATTATTTTGTTTATAACAATTTTTTAAAGTTAACAAAAAATGAAAAGTCTAAGAAATATTATTAAAAAATTTTTTTAAACAAATGTTATATTATTGCTGCTTTCTTATCCAACAATGGCATTAAGTAACATCGGAAAAATTTTTTTTACATCATTTGTTAAGAAATTGTTTATAAACAAATAGACAAGTTTAATATTTAAAGAAATTTTTTTTTACCATTATGTAAAAAATAAATGAATTGAAATTGAATTATGTTGTCTTGGCAAAATAATGATTTTTAAAAAAAAAAATTCTTAAATAAATTTTTTTATTGTTTATAATCGTTTTTTTTATATTTCGATTGTTTAAATAATTAGTTAAGGAATGATTTTCTCTTTAAAAATCATAATTAGCATTTCTTTATAGGTAAATAGATTTTTTTTTTTTATCAATAATTTCATTGTTTGTTAACTTAACAATTTGTTATAAACAAATTCTAACTACCGTTATATTTTTTTTCTAGAGCTAAAAAAAATAACAAAAACAGCCATATATATCAAAATACTAAAAAAAAATTTTTTCTATTTTTTATAACGCTTTTAAATATTACACGATACCAAAGTTGCACCGGACACTTGATTTGTCAAGTAAAAAATTAATATAACTTATAAACTATTCGAGATACGATAATGGACATTCAGGTCGTTTTTATAAAGCATTAATTAATCTTCAAAATAAGCTAAAAACCAAGTTTGTAACTATTGTTTATCAGCTAATACACGCATTTGTTTATAAAATTTTGAGATTTCTTTAACTTTTTCGTATCTCTTATGACTTACAACTTAATAAATAATTAAAATACAGCTATAAACCTTAAAACAATTTTGTTTAGCGATACATTATCTCCCAAATTATCAATTAATCGTACCTCCATCTCTAATTGTTTAAACAATATACGTGATTTAATTAATATTTATTTAATATTTATCTAACACTTACCTTCATTTTGTAATTTTTTAATTTTCTCTACATTATTATAAGTTATTATAGCTTCTAAGTGAAACTGATTTTATCATTTATTTAAATAAATAGTTTCTTCGATGTCATTAAGTATTTTTTTTCATAATTTTTGTAGTTTGATCTGCCGTATCTTCTAAATTTTTACATGTTAACCATATTTTTATATATTTTATTATAATTAAATAGAATTACATTTATTGGTATGAAAAAATTATTAGAAATAATATTAGGATAAAATGGATTTATAAAATAAAAGTCACTGTTTTATAATAATAATTCTAAATATATTTGAGGAAATAATACAATGCAATAATACAAATTCAAATAGTTCGTTTCCTTCTTTTCTTTAAGGGAGGGATTGCAGAACAGCTTGGTCTATCGAAGTTTTGAACTGAACTAGTTGACACCTTTTCTGTCACATTAGAGATGGAGGTACGATTAATTGATAATTTGGGAGATAATTTATCGCTAAACAAAATTGTTTTAAGGTTTATAGCTGTATTTTAAATATTTATTAAGTTGTAAGTCATAAGAGATACGAAAAAGTTAAAGAAATCTCAAAATTTTATAAACAAATGCATATATTAGCTGATAAACAATAGTTACAAACTTGGTTTTTGGCTTATTTTGAAGATTAATTAATGCTTTATAAAAACGACCTGAATGTCCATTATCGTATCTCGAATAGTTTATAAGTTATATTAATTTTTTACTTGACAAATCAAGTGTCCGGTGCAACTTTGGTATCGTGTAATATTTAAAAGCGTTATAAAAAAAAAAATTTTTTTTTATTATTTTGATATATATGGCTGTTTTTGTTATTTTTTTTAGCTCTAGAAAAAAAATAAAACGGTAGTTAGAATTTGTTTATAACAAATTGTTAAGTTAACAAACAATGAAATTATTGATAAAAAAAATTTTTTTTTCTATTTACCTATGAAGAAATGCCAATTATGATTTTTAAAGAGAAAATCATTCCTTAACTAATTATTTAAACAATCGAAATATAAAAAAACGATTATAAACAATAAAAAAAATTATTTAAGAAATTTTTTTTTTTAAAATCATTATTTTGCCAAGACAACATAATGGTAAAAAAAAATTCTTTAAATATTAAACTTGTCTATTTGTTTATAAACAATTTCTTGACAAATGATGTAAAAAAAAATTTTCCGATGTTACTTAATGCCATTGTTGGATAAGAAAGCAGCAATAATATAACATTTCTTTAAAACAAAATTTTTAATAATATTTCTTAGACTATTCATTTTTTGTTAACTTTAAAAAATTGTTATAAACAAAATAATTAACTTTAATAAACTTTTATCGCGGGATTGCTCATATTTTTAGGAGCTTTATCTCTATTTTTCACGTTTTTGAACTTGTTGACTGGACTATGGGTGATATAGGTCATAATTCATCGCGATAAAGTAAATTACGTCCGTGCAAAGCCGGGGCGGATCGTTAGTATAGAATAAATACTACTAAAAATTTATGACTAAAGGAACAGCTTTGTAATTTATTTGTTTCTTAGGTTTTCACGCACATCACTCATTAAATAAAACTAGTTTTTACGGGTTAATGCACGAAACTTTATTTATTTATTGACGTTTCGCAGCCTTTTCAGATCTGCATCGTCAGAATAATGATTTTTTATTTAAAATTGTCGAGCTACCTTATAAAGACTTATATTGAGAGTTCGGTTATTTCATTGGAAGATTTTTAAAATTTTATTGTCTATGTATGAATTTATTATTTAATTTACTTAATAAAGTATTTTATTTAAAATTCTTGTTTGTAATTTTGAGTTTATTTATTTGACCCTAACTACTTTTTTTAAAAATCTTCCAACGAAATAACCGAACTCGACAATTTTAAATAAAAAATCATTATTCTGACGATGCAGACCTGAAAAGGCTGCGAAACGTCAATAAATAAATAAAGTTTCGTGCATTAACCCGTAAAAACTAGTTTTAGCTTTGTAATTGTGACGATAAAGTTTCAACGAATAAATAAAGTTATATTTTTTATCATTAAAGCATGTAACTGCTAGAGGTTTAAGTCGGAAGAAAATTTCAACTAGAAAAAAAACACGCCGACCAGGCAGCAGACGGGACTCGAACCCGCACCCTTCGCTATCCGGCCGAATACACTGACCATTACGCTACCGCGGCCCTGATGGCCGTGTCAAATTTTCTTTACCCTTGCTTAAGCTGCTGCCTGGCCCGCGTGGAATTTGTTCTAATCAAAATTTTCTTTCGATTCAAATAAATAAAGCTTAAAAGACACCTTTCTTCTACATTTTTTTTTACATTAAAACGGCCACGCGACTGATGAAGAGCGACGTAGCAGCTTAAGGTGGGACGCGCTTGCCTAGAAGAAACCGATTCACTCGCGACTTGAAGAGCCCCAGATTATAGGTGACTGGAAACAGAGATTCTGGCAAAGATTTCCACAACCTAGCTGTTCTGACGATATAGGCGGAAGCAAACCGTTTAGTACGGGTATGCGGGACCTCTACGGTATATCTGTGGCGTTTTGCCGTCTCTACATACATACATACAGACACACATACTGACCGAAGAACTTACGCAGTCTATTGATGAGGTTGGGGTTCCTCTTCTGGTCGGCGTGCACTCCGCGCTCAGTCTTGAACCCCCTCACTTGCACGCTGTACTGGAACGTGTCCTTCTGCAGGCTGCGAGCGAGGAGACCCACAAAGTTGTCCGTGAGACTGATTCTGCGCATAAATGATACCACAAATCTATATTATATATATAAAACTCAAAAGTGACTGACTGACATAGTGATCTATCAACGCACAGCCCAAACCACTGGACGGATCGGGCTGAAATTTGGCATGCAGGTAGATGTTATGACGTAGGCATCCGCTAAGAAAGGATTTTGATCAATTCTACCCCCAAGGGGATAAAATAGGGAATGAAAGTTTGTATGAAACTTTGTTAATTTTAAACCGGTCGGACTGAGACTTTGCATGCAGGTATAAGAAGAATCATAGATGAATGTCATTGTGTTTATTACAAGCCTGAGAACAAAAACTGTAGTCTACACTTCAGCTCTACACCGAAGCGAAGCGAGGGCGGGCCGCTAGTGATATTTATAAGAGCAGAAGATATATCATAAGCGCGCACGCTGTGAACACTCAAAAACAATCCAATTGGAGCGTCATGATGACTAAGGGTACCGCTTAACTGAGTAAAGGACCCCGTAGGCGAGGACTCAGGTAAGCGACGAGGCGTTCCAGGGCATCCCCAACACTCTCTTCTTCCGGGGGGAGTGGGGTGTGTCCGTTCGACTCGGACGCTCACTGGTGAGGTCGCGGAAGATTCCGTAAGGATTCCCGTGGCCTCATCTAGTGCCGTTGTCTCAACCACGCTGGTTGGGACCGCGGACCGAGTGAGGTGTGGAGGCATCGTCAGGTTTTTAGTGGTCGGGAGGAGTCTCACATAACTCCGTTGCCACTCCCGGGTGGCGTAGATGCGTCATGCATTTTCCTGACGAAAAAAAAAGGTAAGCGACGATGCACATTCTTGTCAAAATTACAAGCACCCGCCGCCCGCACCTCTCACGGCCCCCGTTGTCGTCCTCCCTCACACCCTGTACCCCGCAGGCGAGGTCTCAGTTAAGCGGTTCACCTATAATAAATGTTACTCTATGCACAAGAAAACATTTGAAGTTGGAACAGATTTTAAACGCAGTCACTATGAACGTAATATCTGTAGAAGTGATATATCATTGGATTACAATCACAGCTGCTATAGACTAGTATTATTATAGTTATAATTTTTATTATTTTAAAGCATGTATTCGAGTTACTTAGTTCGGTTCGAGGCCCGTCTGCTGCCTGGTCCGCGTGGAATTTTCTCTAGTTATATGTTCTTTAGTATTATTATTTCATATTGAAGGGTCTTGTGAGCGGGGCAGACACGCCACAGTTATGTGTGAGCAAATGCTCATAACTTGACCAAAACTTGGTTCTGATTGCGTCGTTGCTCTCGGGTGTAAGCTCCGATTGGTTCGATTGCTTGATGTCGCGTCGTTTGATTGGCTATTACCTATTAGGTGCAGCAGGGACAAGCCGGCGACATCGGTTCCCCTACTATGTCCATGATCACGCTTCTAACCTCTTCATGTGTTCTGTGATGCAGTCTTAATGGAGCTGTAGTCATTGCGACTTTATAGATCTACTAGCTGTCCCAGCGAACTTCGTACCGCCATAAAAAAATAGGGGTTGGTGGTAGAAGGGCGAAAATTTTGGGTTATATTTATTTTTGTATGATGTAAAATAAAAAAAAAATATCTATAATTAAAAAAAAAATTTTTGGGGTGGATCACCCTTAACATTTAGGGGGATGAAAAATAGATGTTGTCCGATTCTCAGACCTACCCAATATGCACACAAAATTTCATGAGAATCGGGAAAGCCGTTTCGGAGGAGTTTAACCCCAAACACCGCGACACAAAAATTTTATATATTAGATATTTATATAATATGTACAGTATACGTATTCTATCTGTTACCCTAGTATCCCATAACACAAGCCTTACAGTGTTTACCTAATATGGCATCACTGAGGTACGTTCCAATTAGAACGTAGGTCGTTTGCCTCCGGAAACGGAAGCCGCGACCAGACCCGCCCTCTCGGCACGCACTAGGGGGACAACGGTCCTCATAGTGCGTGTCGGGTGACGGTGCAGGAGTATTGTCTGGTTTTTAGTGGCCCCGTTCAGGGCGTAGGTACGGCTTGTTCACTGCAGCTAGCCTCAGGGCTGGCTGAAGTGAGCAGGGAGAAGTCCCACATACCTTCTTCTCGCTCCCCCAGTGGTTGAAGGATGCGTAAGGCATTTTCCATAAACAAAAAAAAGGGTTGTTTGCCTCAGTTCCAGCACCCAAACGTGATTAATATTGCTTCGGGTGCCCAAAATCGAGGAATGACTTTCGTGCACTCGACTACCCGGGCTAGCAATCAATGTTATTGTGCCTTAAAATAGTTATGCTTACATTATTGCAGTTATTGAGTTATCATGATGACACTTTTCAAAAGTGTAAGCTAAATCATTCTCTAAATTGGCTAGTAAATTTTCTCAGGTAAGTCAAAACTCACACTGTATATTAATATAGACTACTATTAAGAGATATTGTTAAGAAAGAGAGAGAGAGGGAGAGAGAGAGTTAGAGGGGGGTAGGAGAGGGGGGGGGGGGTATGGTACAGTAGATTTTGTGTTTGAACTGAAGTGCTTGTCTGGGGAAGTAACCCTTACCTTACAGAAAACCACAGTAAAATAACACTACCGTTTAGAGGAGTTTTGATTTTGTCAGTGTGTAAGGTTCCAGGGCTCCACGGGGTAGAGGATCAGGGTATACGAATGATGTTTCTTGTATTGCAAGCGTCTATAAAATGTAGTGGCTGCTAACCATCAGAACCGCTACAAGCTACTTAACACCCTTTTAGCATTAATAAAAAAAAATACAAATATTTGCCCACCAGGATTCAAACTCAGGACCACTGAGTAGGCTATACGTTTAAACTCTGTGTCCATACCACTCTACCACAGAGGTGATCAAATATAACAATATTAGAACATATATTCTCTTTTTATCTCTATCTTTGCGTTTGGACTTAATCACTACTTAACATCAGGTGAGGTAGAGTCATTTGCTTACATGGCTTATTAAAAAAAAACTAACAGATATAGCAAGTGGCAAACTTTTTGAGTACAACCACTAGCGATGCGAGACTACGAATGATTTTACCTATCAACTAATTCGTAACTACTAATTTGGTTATTTGAAAGGCAAATTAGTAATATACTAATGTCATTATTTGAATAAAGACTACTAATTAGTAACACTAATGTCAAATGTCGCTACTTGCGATGCGCACCGCCCGATGCCATCAACTCCAGTCGAATGATAAAAGTGCAGTCGACTTAGTCAAATGATTCGTGAGGTCGAAAGATTCGTGGAGTCGAATGATTAGTATTAGTATTACTCGAAGTCGCGCATTGCTAAAAACCACAGACAAATAAACTTTTGCAGCAAACACGTTTGTATGTGAAATTACTACTGCCTCAGCTTCTTTGTCTATACTCGATGCCTAATTAGTTTTGCAGGGGTGAATACCAGTTGTGTGCTGCTACTATAAAAGATATCCCCTCCCCTCTGGCTGAACACCTCTCCGAATGACAAATTATGATTGAGATAGACAGTTAATGCACAAACCCCATGTCTTATGTACTATTTTCAGATAAACTTGGAGCAAAGGATAATCAATAGGATTAATTGAGTTTTTCTAGCTAGATGATTGTTTGTCAGGAGGCTGGTTATCACATGAAATGCCAGAATCTTGAACATCTAGCAACACTAGATACAGGCCAATAGTACTGCATAATGATAAATAGAAGAAGCTAAAAGATCACTTTGAAAATGCAAACAGAGCGGCTCGTCCCACTACAAAGGCTGTACATAGTTAACCTTAATTGTAGTTTTCGAAATTTAAAATAAAAAATTCAATACAATATCTAATAAAATGTCTAGAAAAATTTAATATAATATCTAGGAGAGATGAAAGAAAAACACTTTTAGGCAAGGCTGTATGATGCATTTTGTCATCTTTGCCTTTTCCATTTGATAAGCGGAAAGAACAAAGCAAAAAAAAACTTTAGAATAAGTTTTGCTTAAACACTGTTTATTCTTAAACTATGCGGTTACTTCACTAGAGGTCATTGACCTCAGAATGGCTAGTTCTTTATAGATACCATGTAGTGTTAAAACTAAATTAATCAATAAGTACCTCGTATTGTGCCTTCGCAGGTCCACAGTGACCGTTGGGGTCGTGGAAGACTGGGGTGTCCATCCATTTTTATTTTTATCAAAAGTTTCAGCTGATATGAATGACACTTTTTTGGCTGATTGAAACTCTTTGCTAAAATTTAACGACCTTCTAGTGGCCTTACTGAGAGTAGCCAAAGATCGCAAGTCAACCTTACGCATCTCAGCTAGGTCATTCTTATCAAAGTTTCTTACTGCCTCTTCAAGACTCTCTGAACACAAGGTTGCGTCATATAATGACGTAGCATTCTCTTTTCTCTTTACATGACTGTTTTTACTACTGTTTTGCTTCCTCTGCTTGAATATGCACGAATAACGAGCTGCTAGCTGGTTAACATTAACTAAAATCTGCAAACGTATCGAAAGGTTAGGAAGGTGACAATGTTTTCGAACACCGTACTCAAAATTCGAGTTAAATATCACTAAAACAAGAATAATTACCTGATTTTGGGTGTTTAAAGAATTCAATGAGAACATGTTACATGTAGATAAACTGTATTGTTTCCTTTTTCTGGAAGTGCACTCGAAAATTTTGTAGGCTCTTCTTATCTTACGTCAAACTTAATTTTCGTAGTAAAAAAATGGCGACATAAATAGCTTCTAGGTTTACTATGGTCTGACAAATGAAGTGCATATTATTTAGCTGCATAGTAGTCACGTACGCAATAAACATGCCTTTTTAAAATTATTTATTACATTAAAGTAGTTAATACATCATTATTATCATATTTTTTGAGTGTCTACATGTTAAATTCTATATTGAGATTAAAAAGATGCTATTTAAACTTTTTTTACAAAACATTTGTTTTAAAATAAGTTCATGATTTTGAACGATCTTTAGTTTGATGTTCTAGGTTGTCTATGCTTTATTTGGACAGTGAAATCCAAAATGGCGACGAGCGATGACGAGCCTATGCATTTATATGAAGTTTTTCAAAACTGTTTCAATAAAATAGCGAACAAACAACAAGGTGAGTGAGATATTGCATACCGTGGCTCGTCTCGCATCTCTTGAACAAAGTGTCGGGGTGTTGTGAAGTGTTTCATTGTGAAAATCAACCAAAGTGTTTGCGTGTTATGCCATTACAGTGTTGGAAGCTCCAGCATTTTTTCAAATTACACGTAAAACATGCACCATAGTAGCTCAAAGGGCCTATGGTGACAATCTACGATAGTTAACGGAAGTAACACAACACAATAAAATGTCTGTAAGTTGCATAAATCGTTAATAAAGGCTATGTTTTGATCACACGTTTGATTGTCAAATGTGCTCTCAAACCATTGTGCCACAGATGAATTACTAAGCGTATACGGTTTATTTCCTCGAATTTATCAACTTGAACGCCTATCTTAAGCCCTGGTTCATCCATTTATGACATTAAACCGAAAGGAACCCGAGGCTGACGATAAAAAACATAGAAATAACACCGATCCTACAATTTCCTACTCCAAGATGCATTTTTTTTTTTCGAATTGGTATGAATGGCATCGCTAGATGTCAGCCAACGCATGTTGTTGTTACCGTTCGCAGTTTTTATCGGCGATTGCCATTCTTCGTCGATGCCTATGTTTACAGTAAAATTTGTTTATTTACACACGGAAGGCGCGAGCGTGTATCTATGGACCGTTATGTTGCGTCACTACAGATACATAGGACAAACTGACTAATTTTATCGTATTCCCGATAATTATTAGTTTGTAGATCAAAGCAAAATTTATAAAAAATACTAATATATTATTGATCTAACAGGTAACAATTCTCTAACCTAAACATTATGTACTCCCAGCACACAACATACAATTGTTGTAGCTGAATAATGAAAAGAAATCTTTTAATGCTACAAATATACTTTGTATTAGTCTCTTTTATACATAAAATTTGCATACAGATTTAGTTCTTGTTCACTATGACATGGTGTTATAGTTAAGAATGCAATCAAGAACTTGGTTAAGGAATTCATTTCCTTCTTCCTATTTGTTTATTCTTATTATACCATTAAAGTACCATTGTGACACTGTATTCTTTTGGATGCTGTGTATTCTTAGTTATACATAACATGCAAGAGCTCTAAGATAATTTTTAATAAATTATGTTTGGATGCATGCAGAGTAATGACTATTATATTGAAAAGAATAATTACAGAAATTAAACAACATTTATCACTTTGTGCATAACAATCTTATAACATGTAGTCTACTCAAAAATCATGTTTTGTTTGAAAACAAAATCTTGGAAAACTTTAGTAATAAATTATATACATTTAAATTATTGATCATTAAAGAAACACATTGTCTTTTAATGTCAATGTTGTAATCCTGTTGTTCTGGCACTTGACTGTTTATTTATTCTTTACAGTTAAGTTTTCCTTTGTCAATTTTGAAACTTTACTTTTTTAACTTTTTTAGGTACCTATTCATTTCAAAATAAAGGTCATAATATTTATAACTTCCTTTTCTTTCTACTTTTGATAGAATCAAATTACTAAATTATAGAAGTACAGTTAACAACAAAAAAAAATTAAACAATGTGTTCATATAATTTATTGGTTATACTTAAACAAAATATCTTCTATTCAAGGAGCAACATAATTTTAGAGAACAAGAGAATTTATTTATTTTAACGCAGAGCTATGAATCAAAATGGAATGTTTTTCTGATCCAGCATTGATGATCTGATCTAACGTAAACAGCCATAAGTCAAACTGTCTGATTTAGTTTTTTTTTTGTTAGTTTATTGCAACACTAAATATTTAACTGATGTTTCTCATGAATTTGGATAACCTTATAAATGACACACTTGTTTAGGATGCCATACCTAAGGGTAAAAACTGAAACCTATTTCTAAGACTCCACTGTCTGTCTGTTTGTCATCAGACTGTATCTCCAGAACTATATATATAATAGCTGGACAGTTGAAATTTTCACATTTAAAAGAATAAAATATATATTTAAGAGGGACTCCCATGCAACAGACGTGATTTTAGCCCGGTTTCTTGTTCAATATAATATAGTGTCTGATGTTGTATTAAACAATGGTATGGAACACTTCGTGCGCAAGTCGTACTCACACTTGTCTATTTTTTTTTACCAAACTGCACCCGAATGAATGAACGTTGAGCTTGATGCTTAGTGCCTTTTTATTTTCTTCAGTAATTTCACCTATTAATCTCCTTATTAGAATATAGATATATTTTTATTAACATATTATAATAATGATAGTACAGTGTAGATAAAGCCTTCTTAAGCCTTAGCAAATACAAAAGAACTGCAAAGACTAGGGAAACCAGTTTATGGTAAAGCAAAATGAGTGAGACAATCTAAACAGAGGCCTTCTATCTAACTTCCGCTCTCTTCAAACAATCAAAAAACTCATGTGACGTTTTCAACACATTACAGCTGACAATGAAACCGAAATCATTATCTTAAACCACTTTGTGCTTCAAAAGCTGCAAATACACAATGCTTTCATTCTCCAGTCATATTTTTTTTGTACCCATGGATAGAAGTTAACAGCACTACTAGGAAATAGGCTCAAAATTATAATAATAACCTGCCAGAATTATCAGCGCTGCAGCAGCCCTGGTGTTGCTGTAGTATTAAGGTGAGGGTGAGGGACCTAGTTGGCCTATTTTGTCTTGTTTTATTTATGTAAATCTGAGTGTGTTTAAGACTAATAAATTTATTTCTATTCTATTCTAAAAGGATGTGGGTCCATTATGATCAGTAGGCCTAGTCGCTAACTGCTTTTTTAATTTATTCATCCACTGCTGCTTTATTATAACACCTCTAAGATACTTGTTCTGATCGAAAGCATCAATGAATATGCAATTTTCTCTTTATTTGCATACTGTGAATGTCAAAAAAGTTTGCGTTTAATACTGCAGGTCTTAGTAGCGAAATGGCCTGTTAGATTTAAATGTAATTTCATAATGTACTAGTTAAAACTACATTTATTGTAGAGGCATGTATAATATAGTATAGGGATATTAGGTCTGATGATCAGCACATTCGGCCTGCGATCGTGTAAGTTAAGCCACTTTTGCAACAAATGGTCAGTCATTGAATGGGTGTCAAAAATCTCACTGGGCCCGTGTGGTGTGTCACGGCTCCTTCTCCCTATTCCATCCATAGGGAAGGCCTGTGCCCCAGCAGTGGGGATATTAATAGGCTGATGATGATGATAGGGATATTAATTAAGGTGCCCCTTGATAGTATATGCAAAGACATCCTGACAGCGACAAAATTAACTGGACCCAGAGAACCAAACTGGGAAAATTTCTTATCAATTTGGTGGCCATACCAGATTTGGAGCAAGGCCGCATCTTGATTGCGACAATAGAATGGCTCTTGATCTATTGGAACGTCGTTCTCAATTGTCGATCGTTATCGTGTATTCTTAAAGCTCGAAATGGCTTGTTAATTAAATATGCGTATGCACATCTCCTAGTGACGACAATTGAAAAAAAACGCAAAGGAAAGACAGTGAAATTAAATTTAAAAATCGGACGACCTCCGTGGCCGAGTGGTTTGTACGCCGGGTTTCATGGTGTCGCCGACTCGAGAGGTCCCGGGTTCGGTGGGGGCAAATGTTTGTGTGATGAATATGAGCATTTGTACTCCAGCCATGGATGCTTCATATGTATTTCTAAATAAATATACTTAGTATATGTACAGTATGTATTCTATCCGTTACCCTAGTATCCCATAACACAAGCCTTACAGTGCTTACTTTTGGGCTAGGCTAATTGGTGTGTGCTAGAAATATTTATTTATTTAAAAATAAAATGCGATGACTAGTAGATAAATGTGATGCAAGAGATGAAAATTAGAAATCGGCCAAGTCCGAGTCGGACTCGCGCGAATGGTACCGGACCATACAATATTAGACACTATAGTCACGGTAATATTATCTATACAGTATTGTGACTCCGCCCTGTCCTTGAAAATAAATGCCTACGGCCGAGCGCTGCATTAGCACGCGGTAAGGCCGCCCGGCTACAGTATTTTATGTAGTTTTGTTTTTAACGCGAGTGTAGGTAGATTACTCGTTTGTCTCTTTTTTCATCCTAACCACTTATTTATATATTATTCCAGATATTTTGCCCGATGGAAAAACCGAAATACCTAAATATTAGAAACAAATTACGTACTAGTAGATAGGTATATAAAAAATATTCTATAAAGGTAAGACACCTTTCCAATATCTCTGGGTGTGTTATTGAAGAGTTCAAGCAACCAAAAACAGCAATTGTGCTGTTGTACGATATTGGTCGTCGTTTGTTCTTTTCTATACTAAATTATGTAGGTATCTACTTAATTAAATCAAATATTTACAATACAAAACGCACGTTTAAGCACGGCTAACTGCATAAAAAACAATTCAGACCGTTCGGTCGTCGTTGCGGCGCGCGGTGGCGCATTCGCCACTGGGTGCCCGCCGAGAGCACATCGAACTCGAGTGGCGTAGGCATGACTCGCTTTTCGACCGTTTGTATGAAGATAGAATACTGTATGATATTATTACCGTGCTATAGTATAATATTCAAAGTTGCTCAGCGCGCTATGGAAAGGGCTATGCTCGGCGTTTCTCTGAAGGATCGTATCAGAAATGAGAACTAGAGTTATCGACATAGCCCACCGGATCAGCAAGTTGAAGTGGCGTTGGGCTCGCCATATTTGTCGAACAACCGATAACCGTTGGGTTAGACGAGTTCTGGAGTGGAGACCGCGTCTAGGCAAACGTAGTGTAGGACGTCCTCAGGCACGATGGAGTGACGATTTGCGCAAGGTGGCTGGCAGGAGCTGGATGCGAGTAGCCCAAGATCGATCTGAGTGGCGTGCATTTGGTGAGGCCTGTGTCCAGCAGTGGACTAAGATAGGCTGTTGATGAGTATAATATTCAGCAAATATATTTATATAAAATAATTCCTAAAAGGATTGCTATGGCTATCGCTATCGCTTACGATTTCATTTTGTTATTTTTGAACGCCGAAGTTTACACCTAATAAACGAGGGGTAAGACTCCGATGTCCGTCTGTCACCAGGGGGCTAATCGCCTAACGGGATTGCTATGGTTATCGCAATCGCTTAAGATTTAATTTTCTTATTTCTGATCGCCGAAGGTTTTCGAATTTTCTTTAATATTGTTATTACAAATGCAAAAGAAAAAAAAGAGTGCAGTGAGTATAACATGTATTAAACAAATTTTTAAACAATGTCTTCATTTTTCGTTCTCACTTATATACATGTATAAAACATGCAGAATACAATACTTGCATCAATTTGTTGGATAAACAAAATGTTTTTTTTTTCTAAATGGCTTCGCACGGCTTGTGCATTTAGCCAATGTCAAGTGTTAAAACGTTTACAAATACTATAGCACTCGTGGTCAAAGTAATAAATCTAGTCAAAGTAAGTGGCAGTCAAGTCAATCCCCCTTTCCCTATGTTTCAGTAAAAGTGTGGAGATTTACTGGAACCTCCCCGTGGACTTCTTCAGGGAACGTCGAAAGACACTTTCCGCTATTTTGTTTCACTTGCCAACACTTGTACACGTTCCCGAACACTTAGTGGTTAATAATCCACCATTATTAGACACTAACATCCGCCACAAAACAATTTTTAACAAGAAAAACAAAACTGCTAAAGTGACGCATCCCGATCCCGCCAAAAAGTCCTAAACAAAATATGTGAAGTAAATAAGTGATTTATACTTGTAAGATATTACGAATCTTTGCATTGTAAACAAAAGAATGTTTAAACAGCCACAACAAGTATTCTACAAGTTTTGTTGAGTGCTAGAGTGGAGTTCAAGCTTTTCTTGATTGGGACACGATTTGAGCACTCGTGGTGTATCTGGGATATTTAATATCGTTGACTATGATGGGTCAGATGATTTGTCCACGAAGTGAAAAGCCTAGTTGTAGTATTTTATGGCGTTAATAAAATTTCACCCGTGCAAAGACGGGGCGGGTTGCCGCGTCCCGCTACCCACGTCAACGGCTAACTAGAACCGAGGTCCGAGTCTCAGAGACGCCCCTAGTCGATCGGACCCCCTCAGGTTCGAGTGGTCTAGAGGCTCCAGACGGAGAGGAGACTGCAACCGTAGGGAGATGCCATCCGCTGGGAAAACCTAATACAGAGAATTGGCGAGTGCCTTTCAGGCATTCTCAGCTTGAGGTCCCGTTAGGATCTCGCCGTCCCCTAACCCGGTGACGCTGTAAAGGTCATGTGTGACCAACAGCATACACACCCCAAAAAAAGGGACGCTGGTTATTAATACGCGAAAAATATTAACTGTCCTCTGTATGCACAATTTGCTTTTTTGCCCATATGAGATGGAGTGAGATTTTAATAGTACAAAAATAATAATTTGCCAGGTAATACAGAGTTGTGTCTAAACGGTTTGTGGGTTTTAAATGAAACAGTGTACTAACCGAATGAGACACTTGTGTAAATATAGGGTTTTGTAACGCTCTCCAGTACAGTTATGTGAAAATAGTGTATAAAATAAATATAAGACGCACTGTAATTATGCATATTATACTAAAGATGTCGTGCGGTTTTACCCGCTTTAAGAAAATGGTTGTAGTTAGTGAAACTTGAAAGATGCTGTCATGGCTTTTTTTTTAATTTGTTTTAGGGATTTTTGGACCAAAATGTTCATACCAGCCCGATCGTAACCTGACCATACAATTTTCTTAAAATTATTTAATAACTTAACTATTACATAAAATTTTTGCTGCCATATTTTTTATAATTCTGGTGTAGCAACTGCAAGGCGTCTTCTATGCAGTGAATTTTTTGAACGAGTATTATGATAGTATCTATACACAATTGTGAACTTAAACTAAATAATAACATTAATTTGCTATTAATAAAAGAACATTGTTTAAGATTGTTAAGAGGGCGAATTGTCTTTACTATGTAGACTAATCATATTATTTTGTCCGCACGTTTTTAATTTTATATGTTAAAGTATAAAGATTTCTGTTTTTTAAACGTGGAGACCTGTAATTGGCCTTCTGTTACTAATTTTTCCTCAACTATGTCTGTTTTATGAGCTGTTGGTCTCCCAAAAATTAAATAAATAAATAAATAAATATTGCAAAGCACACCAGCCTCCTCCGATAGCGGGTTTGCTGTCATGGTCTTTTGGATGTGATAACGTGTTTCAAGTCGATGAATACCGGTTGCACGCACGAAACAGTGTCACGTTATGCCTGGAGGCCTACTCACATTCAACGAAAAACAAAATTTCGGTCGAAACTTCGCACTTTTCTTACTATGTTTCTGGTTCGTTTTTAACTACATATAATAATCTAAAGAAAATATAACTAGAAAAAATTCCACGCGGACCAGGCAGCAGACGGGACTCGAACCCACACCCTTCGCTATCCGGGCGAATGCACTGACCAATTATGCTACCGCGACTCTAACGCCGAAATTCTTCTAGCCATTCTTAAGCTGCAAGGCAGCGCCATCTCTTCGCATTGTAGGTAACCCACAATGTCAAATGAATACTTTTACAAGTATTAAACATTTGAACAAAATAGCAATTATAGTTAAAAATGTTATTATTTTAAAGCATGTAACTGCTTGATGTTTAAATCTAAAGGAAATATAACTAGAAAAAATTCCACGCGGACCAGGCAGCAGACTTTAGATTTAAACATCAAGCAGTTACATGCTTTAAAATAATAAAAATTATGACTACATATAATAATACTAGCTGACTCGGCGAACTTCGTACCGCCCAAAAGTAATAATTTGCAATAAATTAAAATTGCGACTATAATTTGAGATTTAAACTATCCTATCTCTCAAGTTAGATCGAACTGCACATGGTGTGCGAATTTTATTATAATCGGTTCAGTGGTTTAGGAGTCCATTGAGGACAAACATTGTGACACGAGATTTATATATATTAAGATTCGTCGTCGGAATGAAGATTACAAGCCGAGGCTTATATACATTTATCTCTCTTCTCGCGTGACGTCAGAGCTACCAATTATGCAATTTTTCATCAATGTTTCTCTGTGACGCTATCACGTAAAACTAACGTCCGTAAACCGACTTACCGACAGACAACCAATTTTTTTATAGAGCTTTTTGATATTAGTGCAACTTTAAATGTTTACGTATCTATCAAATGGAATATCTTTTTCCCGTTTTTGACGTGACAACGTCTTAAATTAGGTTGCGGCTGGGAGTCACTTATGAAAAAGTGTAACGCTCGGTAACGTTACGATGAGGTATATTACCCTAGCGTAACAATTTCATAAGTCCATATCCTAAGGTATATAGTATTTTGTTGCTAATTT